TATTCATGCGCATCGACCACGCGGCGCTGAGCGTCCGTAGCTGCGGCACGGCGTACTCGATGGTCGTGAGCTCGGTGAAGATGATGTGGCGAGAGGTGGTCGGCGACATGCTTGTGGCGGCCGTAGGCGCATTTGTAGAGTTTATTCATATTCGCATCGGCGGCGTAGATACTGAGGGCCGACGTCGCGGTGAGTGCCAACTGGGCGTTGATGAGGTCGATGAGCAAGGCTTCGCCACCCGTGGGCGTCAAGCCGGCCCACCAGAGGTCATTGCCCAGGCTTGGCGAGAGGAGCGAGAGGTACCAGAGACCGATACCGAGCGAAAGAACGAGGTAGATGACACTTGTATAGACCAGCCATGTTTGCCGCGTCGTTCAGCCACTGGCGGTGGTTGGTACGAGCGTCTGCGATGGTGCCGCAGCACTTGGTCCAACGAGCATTTCCCTGGCCAAGCCTGACGAGCTGTCTGCAAATTCCTATTTATGTCTAGTTTCAAAACCACCCCTCTTGCGGTCGCTCCTGCAAGAAAAGACGCAAACGCAACAGAGCGAGGACGTGCTCATTGCACACCGGTTTGTGGCCAACACAACAAGACGGAAAGGTGACCGCTAAGCTACATCCACTGACAGCTCCACTGACTGCAGTCAAAGCAACATTCTGCTCTACGTACGACTACAGGCTTCTCTGGTACGACTCAAGATTCAAAAACGCATAGCTTTCGACCGCCTCCCAGCCAAGGAATGTTGACGTTCGGTAGGTTCAAGCCTAGTGTCCCACATCTGCAGGCTAACCCAAGGTCCCATAGAGCAGAGTTTACTCCAACGCATCCGTGATTTTGCGATGTATATATATAAAATTCTTGTTAACCTGTGTCAGGAATGCGCTATTGGTTTAGTGGTAAAATATCTCGTTGCCATCGAGATGCCCCGGGTTCGATTCCCGGATGGCGCATATTTTTGGCATTATTTATTTGCACACTTCATGGCGACCGCCGAGAGATCGTTGGCCAGCGACCAGTACATTTCGTATGTTGTCTGACTACCGCGACGGTATGAACCCGCTTGGGACACTAGAGTGAGCGGATACGCAATGCCAAATGCGTTGATGATCGAGTAGCTGTTGCGCACCCCGAGCTTCTTGTAGTTTTGCCACTGTGTCTCATACGAAGTGAGACCAAACGACCGCCAGTAGAGAGCTTCATCATGTGTACTCATATGCGGAGTTGCACCAGAGACCATTGCCAGCCAAGCGCGACCTTCTGACGACAA